TGCTAATTCTATTCCTTTTGGAACTAAGGATTGGGTTTAGGGGTTGGGTTTATATATGAGGGCCCACGGGCTATGGTCGGCCTTTTTCCCTAATTAATCATTATAATTTATTCTTTCTCTTGGGCTATTGATTAATTAACTAATTGGTTTTAGGACTCGTAACACGGGGTGTTACATACATTACTGTTTCTTTCACATCTTTCAGCATGAAATGTATTTCGAAGTGATATTTAAGCAACAGTATTCAAATTTTGTGACATAAGAATTCTCAATTCACCATTTTTCTTGAAGGTGCAACTTTAGTAGTTGCCTCCTTCTAATTTTTCCTTAAATCAATTATCCACAAAAATGTAATTGCCTAAGCTGCTAACTTTTGAAAACTACAATTTACCTTATAGTTAATCATGACTTACAAACTACATATATCATCTTTTTGAGCCCACATCTCTTGCATAGAGAAATACAATACCAAAAAATATGGCAGTAAGATTTTATACTTAATGAGTTAATGTAAATTGTCTTAAAACAGTACCAACGAGGTGCTGCCAAGTGCAACCATTGACATATAAAAGTTAATTCTTTCAGCTTCCAATGCACTAAAGAAAATCTAGAACTTCTAAGAGAAGAAGCCCTTCATAGCAGGAAATAGGCAAATTTAAGAATTGCCACTCATTGTGATTTTCACTAGAGAAGAAGAAAAAACAAAACAGTATTCAAATTCAAACTAGGATGCAAATGCATTTGTTGCATGAAAGCAAATAAAATCTTCAGTTTATCAGGGCGAATTTTGTAGAAATAATTTAGGAAGGAAAAAGGAATAGAGGGAAGCAAATACCAAAAGCCGCAACTTCTGATCTTTATATCGGTTATCTCTTATTGAGCTGCGCAAATCGTCAACTTTCATCCTCTCCACGATAACCCCAGATACTTATTAGTTAGTACAACATACACATGCTGAGCCGCGTAGCTGTGGACGGCGGTGGCTTGGGCGGAGGCGGTGACGGTGGCTGATAGCTGTAGCATCGCAGGGGAGCTGGATGAGGGAACGACGAAGAAGATCGGAAGGGTAGGCGGTGGAGAGGGCGTTGACGGCCGTAGATCGACGGCACGCTGTTCCAAAATGACGAAGCTGTGGTGGGGTGTCGAATGTGGTGGTGTGCGGTGAGACGATCGAAGCGGTGGATCGAAGCAGAGGGATGGAGACGGCGTGGAGCTGATCTGATCAGCTGAGGATGGAGACGACGTGGAGCTGCAATCTGATCTGATTTGAGTTAGGGTTGGTTGGATAAATTTAATAAGGCGCGTCCAAAGTTAGCCACTTTGGACTCGCAGTATAGTGGTGACTCTTGGATTGAGACGAGCAGCATGAGTTATCAGAATTATCTGAGTTATCTGTTGGGAAGAACTAGTGGGTTCACTCAGGCCACGAGGCCGGAGAGGAAGTGGCTTTCTGCCGAGCAAAAGATTTTGGTCATGCTCGTTTCGGATTGTTTGTTGCCTAACAACAATAAGAGTGCACTTTTGCTTTCTGTCTGAAATACAAGGTGAAGTTCAACTTGCCTGCGTTGATGTTGCAACATATGGTCTACTGTAGAGATCATAACCAGAAGAGTTTGCCTTATGGCATGGTTTTAAGTTGGATCTTTGCCAAGAAGGGGGTGAGTGTTGAAGGCTGTGTGCCCAAGCCGGTGGGCAAGATAGTTCTGGATGCCACAAATCTCCGCAGTTGCAACCTGTTTCAGCTGGATGATGGTGACTACATCACTCTTGAAGAGGTCACCAGGAAAGCCGCTGCCGAGAGGAGTTCGTTGGTTGAAGAGCTTGAGATTCTTGTTGGAAAGTTGAACCTAGCGGTTCAGAGCTTGGGTGGAGATGTTGAAAACGAAGGCAAAGAAAAGAGAGAAGAGGAAGAAGAAGGAGAAGAAGCATAAGAGGTCGAGGAGAGTGACTCCGAAAGCGAAGAGAACGTAAGGAGGAAGGAAGTGAGGACCAAAAAGGAGCATGATGCTATGACACACGAGGAGCATGCGGTGACCCTCCATCGACAGCAGAATCGGATGATTGAGGGAGGTTTCTCTTTCATGAAGGCTCAGTTTGTCACCGTCAATCAGAGGTTATACAGGTTGGAGGCTGGTTCTAGCCGTGTTGGAGCTAAGTAAGACTCGGACGAGGATGCCGAGGATTCGGAGGATGAGTCCTCTTAGGCCAGAGTTGGGGTAAGCTCGTTTTCCTCTCTCGTTTGTTGTTGCCATGTGGTAGTTGTTGCTTATTGGCTGTGCTTAGTTGTTTTCTCCTATTTGCCTTGGTGGTTAGTTTGTTATTTGGGTAGTTGGTTTAGTTGTTTTTCTTTGTTAGAACCTAGTTGTTTTGAGTTTAGGTGTGGTGTAGATGGCTCCTAGCTGTTTGTAAGGTGATGTTAGTGTTGGTGTTGCTCGAGAAACTTCCTTTGTGACCTTTTGAAACCTTACATTTTCTTGATTCTTGAAAATCTTACACCTCTTGAATCCTTGAAGTCTTGTTTAATGGTATACTTGCTTCCTATTGTCACATTGTTGATTCGTTGTTACCCGTTTGTTTAAACTCGTCGTGCCCAAGCTTCAAGGACGAAGCTTCTTGTTAGAGGGAGAGGATGTGACACCCCGTAAATCCAAACGCTAACCAAGGATTAATTAAAGAATTAATCCAAGTCTCTTTGCTAATCTAATCCTAAAAATCCTGAAATTTAATAGTCGAGGGACTAGATTTTGACAAGTCACTTAAGTCAAAGGGCTGAACCTTGTGCTTCTTGAGTTGTGCCCTTGTCCCCTTGTCTTTCCAACATTAGTAAGGGTAGGAATGTCTTTCTACCAAAGGTTTGTGATTCAAGCTAACCTAATAATATTCTTTCATTTCATTCACCCTTCAATCTAAACACAAAAACCTCTAGTGTAACATCCCTAAATTTTAAAACTTTTAAAGCTTATGAAATAAAGGCAATTCTATTATCAAATCCCAAACAGAGCATAAACTAAACATAAATGTCTGGGTGCTATGACACATCTGAGCTGGAGAACTCAGATGCACAGGCTAAACTATCCAATCATAAGAAATTCCAAATTCAATATCTAGTACAATCTCAAGGCACGCATAGCGATAATAGAACTATTCTAGCTATGTCCACGGGTCCGACTAGCACGCTCCGGAGCTACTCATCTATGCCTGAAAGCCAAATATATCTATTCAGCGAATAATGCTGGTAACCCACTCCAACGCGTTAAGTACAATATAGGTAGATATAAGGAAAATCATTTTGAAGCTGGAGTACATGTATACTTAGGAAACTCTAATTTAAAACCGAGAATAAACTCAATCAAACAATGGCAGACACATTTAACATAATTAATCATACACATAAAGATTCTAGCATACATCTTAACGTCACAAGGCTAGCCAATATTAATCATATCAGTGTCCAATTACTATTTCAGTCACAATCAACAATAAGACACGTATGCACATATGGTGGTGCCGCAGGACCATTCACATGACCCGAACCTTGAGTTCCATTGCCAAGGGGTCAGTGCATATGGCCCTGACATGGCCTTGCAGAACTTTAACTTGTACCGCAGCACAAGGAGATTGATCGCAACCAATCAATGAACCGCAGCTCATTTATATCATAAACTTTTTATCGCAACCTAACGGTGGACCGCAGCCATATTATCATGTATATATGATAGCAACCAAATTATGGACCGCAGCCCTATATATATATATATATATATATATATATATATATATATATATATATATATATATATATATATAAAACAGCCGATGGTTCTCAACCCTTCCAACTGCCTGTATAACCGACCGATCGCAACCGGTCGGGTTAACACCTGATGGTTCTCAACCCATTAGATGGTCATTATAGCCAATTGATCGCAACCAGTTGGGATATCATGCACAATTAACACAGAAGCCAAACAACATGCAACCCACATTAACACATAGTGAGGGGGAACCATCGGGGAACACTTACCCTAATGTAACTCATACGTAACACACCACATTAAACCGCTCGTGACACTCCTAAGGAAAATACACCTTCCTCCTAGGCCAACGGGATACCAATTCAACTAGCATGCAATACCCAAGACTCTTTTATCCTAAGAATGGTACCCGATTCATCAAATTAGACTCGCAAATGGCAAACAGGGTACAACAGGACACAACGAGGCACGGGAAAAACATCACGACTTGTACCGAAATTCCAGCGGGTGGTGGCTGCCCGCTGGGAAGAGCGCACGGGCAGCGGGTAGGTGGCGGGAACCCCTGCACCCACCTATCCCCCAATGACTCCTATGTAATATTTTGGTCTCGGGATCCATCGTGGAACCCGAAACCACGTCCAGACACATTCAAGTACAAACGACGACACCACGTATTCAAGTAATGGATTTAAACCAAGGATCACATCAAATACATCCTAACCTGACTCCTAAACATGCTAAGAATCAAATCCTGAACATGCAAAATCCCACCCAAACATGCCAAAACCATATAATACGAAATCCACGTTTATTACCCTAGGGCTCTAGTCATAAAATACAAGACTATTCATGTAACTTATCATGGTATCAAGAACATCAAGATTATCACATAAGTATCAAGATCAACACATAAGCATCAAGTTTATCTCATAAACACAATATCAATCTCAGGCAAAGCTTTACCAAGACTCGAGCACAGAATCATATATCAAAGAGCCAATGAAGAAGATATAGCAAGGAAAATAGGTTTTGTTGAGACATGGGTTACCTCTTAGCCTTAATTAATCCTCCCTTGGCTATTAAGGTTCTTCCCTAAGATTTCCATCTGATGATCTCCCTAGGCTTGGTGGTGGGGAATCCCCTATTTATAGAATCAAGAATCCTAATTAGAATCTGAATAGTAAATGCCTACTTTCTTTATCCCTAACAGATATATAGGTCTAGGATTCCTAATTAGAATCTGACTAGAAAAATGTCTACTCTCTTTATTCCTAATAGGCTTAAGACTCTAGTTTCGGCTAGGACGGGTTAAGGGTTCTCGATCTCACGTGACTACTCTGGTTTGATGCTTTGATCACGACGTATCGACGAACTGATGATCCTTTTTCTTTGGTGTTGGCACTGCTTGACTTTAAGATCCTTGTCAGACCTTGCTTCCCAAGCTAAAGTCTTATCCTTCTTTTCTATCTTGAGGGAATCTCCCGCGGTGATTCAACACTTACTTCTCTAATGCATCCAAGGTCTTGACCAAGTTTGGTCAACAAAGCCAATCTTCTAGGGCGCAGTTCCAAATTCTTCCCAAAGTCTCTTGGGAGTCAATAAACTTCGGGTTGACTTTCTCTCTTCTTTAGTGAATGAAATTCTTAGCAAGACTTCATGTCCTCCCTGGAGTTCGGTTTGTTGTACCTTTTGTGTTACTTTTAATGGTGAAGGCGCCTTTTCATGTTCCTCTTCTTCTTGAAGTGCAGTTGGTTACCTAATCTCGTTGCGGAATGATTCGGTGACTTTACGAGACATCTAATTTCCTTGTTGGTCCTTAAAACCCTTGACGCCATGGCACCAATGTGCTCTTTACTCTTTCCTTAGCACCAAGAACAACGACACTCTTGATTTTAAACAACTTGTAAGGAGCCCTCTAATTACTCAAACGATGTCCATGGTTGAAGGATGCCCGGTCCATCCTTACCGCTTGACTTTAAGGCCTTTTTAAGTCCTTAGCACAAGCTGTAATACCCCGTGTTACGGCCTTTAATCCCGAGTTAATTAATTTATAAATCCCGTTAATAATAATTAAAAAGGATTTTATTTGGTTAGGATTCCCTTATATTAATTAGTATGGTCCACCATGGACCATGGACCCTTATCCCTAAACCAAGCCCCTAGTCCTATAAGGAATAGAATTAGTAAACCCATACCATTCAGACCCTAATTAGGACTCCTATATATATATATATACATATATATATATATATATATATATATATATATATATATATATATATATACATATATATATATATATACATACATATATATATATATATATATGTATATATATATATACATATATATATATATATATATATACATATATATATATATATATATATATATATATATATATATATATATATAAGGACATAGGAGGTACCTAGAAGTCATAACACAATAGATATCACCACACAAGAATTCCAAAGGGACTCCCCACCACCAAGCCTAGGGAGATCAAACGGATGGAAATCTTAGGGAAGAACCTTAATAGCCAAGGGAGGATTATTTAAGCCTAAGAGGTAACCCATGTCTCAACAAAACCTATTTTCTTTGTTATGATCTCCTTCTTTGGCTCCCTCTATATACTTATGTCTTGATGAATTTCTTTGTGATATTTGTGATATAATCTTGATTGATTGATGTGATGATTTTATGAGGGTTCTTGATGATCTTGATGTTAAAAAGAGGTTCTTGATATTTATGTGATGACTCTTGATAAATCTTGATGGTTCTTGATAATGAAAATAAAATATGATTTTGATGATTTGGGTGGGATTAGAGCCCTAGGTTGGAGTGGGAATTGATATTGTGATGTTCTAGATTTATATTTGGATGGGATTTTGCATGTTCGGGTGTTGTTCGTGTGTAGAAGTCATGTTAGGATTTGTTCAATATAATTCTTGCTTTCGATCCATTAAATGCCTATGTGGTGTCATTAATTGCGTTTAAAAGTGTCTAAGCATGGTTTCTGGTTCCCCGAAGGATCCCGGGACGTGCATTTGATAAAAGAATCAGTGGGGGGTAGGTGGGGGTAGGGGTACCCGCCACCTACCCGCTGCCCGAAGTAAGTCCGCCAGGCAGCGGGCAGTCGCCGGGCAGGCGTTCGCCCGCCGGCAACCCGCTGCCCGGACAACGATATCCGACGGGCAGCCAGCCGGTGGCCCTCCGCCCACCGGCTACCCGCTAGTTTGTCACCCAACCCCGGTCTTTGGCTTCCCCGTTTGATGTTCCCCATTCCCCGTGGTGTCCAAACAGACCCCGTTTGTCGTGCTTGAGTCTAGTTTGATGTTTCGGGTACCGTTCGTAGGATAAAAGAGTCTAGGAATAGCATGCTAGTTGAATCGGTAACCCGTTAGCCTAGGTGGAAGTCGTATGAACCCCTTAGGACTATTCTTAGTATGTGAATGACCACACGTAAGCTTATTTATGGTTCTCCCCCGTCTCAATGTGCTATTATGTGTTATGTGATGCATGATTCCCCAATTTGGTTGCGATCAAATTGGCTATATAGGCAGTTGGATGGGTTGAGAACCATCCCAACTGTTCACCAGGTCGGTTGCGATCGGTCAGGTATATAAATATTATATAGAGCTGCGGTCCACTGTTTGGTTGTACATGAGCTGCGGTTCATTCTCCTGGCTACGATCAGTGATTCACTTCTTAGGCTACAGCCCATGGGCCTCGGGTGCGGATGGTCCACCGACTGGACGCGCGAGCGCTGTCTAGGCTACCAGCCTGAGGAAGGCCATAGCCCACCGATCGAGTGATCGGCGTTGTATAGGGCTATGGTCGACTGCGACCCACCGACTGACGGCCAGCGGTGTGTAGGGTCGTAGTATCCGAGGATCATCGCCCACCGACTAAGATCCTCAGCGGTGTGTAGGGCTTTTGCCCACCGACTAAGGTTCTCAGCGGTGTGTCGGGCTTGATTCACTACGATCCACCGACTGTGCTCATCAGCGGTGTGTAGGGTCGTAGTCCCCGTAAGAGGATCACAGTCCACCGACTGAGCGCGTCAGCGGTGTGTAGGGCTGTGATCCGCCGTCAAACTATTGGCGGTCTGTACGGTTGGTTGCGATCAACCCCTTCATGTTGCGGTATGAGGTAGGGTGCTGCGGGGCAATGATAGTGCTATACGCACTAACCCGCATGTTCGGGGCATGTAATTGGTCCCGTGGCGCCACCAAAGTGCATGTGCTTATGTGACTTGAATAATGATTTGAATGGTGATGATTTGAATGATGACTCTAATGACGAATAAATGTTGATTGAATGATGATGTGGATGACTTGAAAGTAAACTGTGACCTTAGATACATGTTGTTTATGATGTTGTCTTTATATAACTGTTTATCTTTATTGAATGTGCTTACCCCTACTTGCTGAGTCTATCCCTGATTTTAAAGCTAGAGTTCCCTAAGTATATCTCTTCCTGCTTCAAAATGATTTTCGTATATATATATATATATATATATCTACCTATATTGTATTTCAACGCGTTGGAGTGGGTTACCAGCATCATTCCCTGAACAGATATATTTGGCTTTCAGGCACAGATGAGTAGACACCGGAGCATGCTAGAGATCCGGAGCGTAGACTAGTTAGTTTCCCTTTCGGCCTGCGTGCCATGATTATGTACTGACATTGCTTTGAGGTTGTTTAGTTAGTTTAGCCTGTGCATCTGAGCTTTCCAGCTCAGGTGTGGCATAGCACCCCGTACTCTTATGTTAATTTTGGATTTAATGAGAATTCGCCTTTATTATATAAGCTTTAAAAATTTTCAAAATTTCGGGGTGTTACAGTTGGTATCAAAGCCTAAGTTTGACCCTAGGATAAGACTCTTATGACCAGACTTTAGGACATTAGGCTTGAACTCTAGGTATTTAGGAACATAGGATTCAGGAATCTTAGGACGCACAGTGTGATTGTGAGTCTACTTATCATCACTTGACCTCCCCTCACTTTATCCCTCATTAATTTAAAGAATTTCCCCCTTCGCTTATCACATCAAGGTAAGGGTACAACACACTAACTTTTCATTCCACATACTTGCCCTAGAAATTTGTGATGTCTTTGCATGCTTTTACCTACTTTGTTTCTTATCACTCTTTGATTATCATACTTGTTTATTTGCTTAAGCATATGTTCCTAATTGATTTTAGACCAAGTTAGGAACTGCATATTATTGCTTAACTATTTGATCAAACATGCGTTATTTGGATGTCTGTTGCTTGATAAAGTATTTTGGAACTTGCAATTAGTAATGTTATTCGGCTTATAAGAGCTCACTTGTCCTAATCATAATTGACAAATATAGTTAACTCACTAATAGCCCGATAAGTACTTACATGAGTTTGCATGAAATTTTGGGGAACATAGCTTTAATTGGGAAGAGGAAGAATGGGGTGTGTGATCCTTATGATATCTAGTTGAAGTCTCTCGTATTCCTTGTTAGAGTCATAATAATGTGATCCCTTGATACTTCTTATGTGTTTAACATGTAAATAACAATCTAATGCTTGAACATGAAAGTCGAATTATCTTCCTAACTGATTTGTTTATAAGTTACATAGATACTATAGGGACTAATTCTATTTCTAAAAAAATAAATAAAAAATCTAAAACCTCGAATACATTGCATATTAAGCTTTGACCCGAAAGTCAATCTGAATGAGACCGGTAGAAAACCAAGGAACCTAAACCAAGTGGTCATCTAGAAATTATCCTTGGAAAAATATATTGCGTCCCTAAACTATCTTAAAACTATCCCTCTAGACTTTGGTCCATGTTGCATGATAGACCACAAGCTTCCCATACCTTGTTTAGAACCCTTTACCACTAAGATAAGGACCCCCCCCCCCCCCTAAAACAAACATTTATACATAAATAAGTATATCGCTACTATTCTAAATATATTCCCCTAAAAATCCTATATATATCTAAAGTATGTAGTAAACCCCAATTACATTCATATGCTACCCTTACACCAAATTATTATTATTATTATTATTATTATTATTATTTTCATTTTTGTTACACTCTAACCCTAATCGCCTGATCCTAAAAATGATTGCGTCATATACGGTACATCCCTATATGCTTTTATATATATATATATATATATATATATATATATATATATATATATATATATATATAAACCTGTGAGCCTATAGAACATCCTCCCTTATAAATACATATTCATATAAATT